TGGTTAAATTTAGTTTTAGAGAATTCCTTTTGCTGTTCAAGGCAGTATTTAATAGTAATAGTAATAGATCATTACCTCGGATCATTTTAGTAACCATTTCTGTTGCTTTATGGAAAGGCATTTCCTGTTATCGCCTATTTGAATTAAATTTTAACTTAAGTTTTAATTTAATAGTAGTCTTTTCCATATTTAGGCCACATGATTCCTATGACGATTTCTATCTTGCTATGCAGCTGTTGTCTTCGATGGCTATAATCTCCTGACATGTTCAGGCAGTCTTTTCAAATAGTTATATCGTTACCGATGCCAGGCTAGCTCATTTCTTAGTGGTTTGAAATTTCTTAGCATAACGTGGATTTGACCGACTTTTTTAAAAATACCTTTTGGACAATTTTGGTTTGTAATGTGCTTACTGTTCCTGAATCTTTTTTTGAAAGAATTGAAAAATATTAATAGGAACTATTTTCTGCGTGTTATCAGTTTCATGCAAATCTTGGTCATAATATGGTCTGACCCGTGAAGATTGCCATTTTCGGGGATATCAACAGCCATCCAATACGGAACATCGGTCAATAATCAATACCAGTTGGAATACTGGATCCATGCGACTTCTCCAGTGCATATCTGTATTTATGCTTCTCGGCAAAGCGAAAAAGGTGATCTCAGTATCAATCCCCTATATGCCATATTTGCCAACTATGGAACCCGTTATGACATTGTGATCTATGGACGCATTGCTCTCTTCTCTTCTTCTCTTCCTCCTCCTTCCTCCTACCTCCCTTTTCCCTCTATTTTTGTCATACTTTTTTACGCATAAAGTAGGAGCATAATCCCCGAAATATCGCAGAATTTTCATTCAAATTGATTATAAAAGAAAGCGGATAGAAGACATGATAATGGGACAGCTATTTCGTCCCAAGTCATGATACAACTAAAATCTGTCAGACCCAATAAATGCTGGAGACCTGAAGCGGGGATTTCCGACAAACAGGAGATGTACAAGATATTTGGATAAAATCTGGTTAAGTATCGTTTATAGCCTAACTCTTGACGTCCATAAACGATATTCCATGCTATTATCGCCAAGTTCTGACGTACACACATGATACATTTATTTAACCGACGGTTCATTTTCCTTAATAAGCAATTATCTTGGATTATTCTATTATTAAATCTGTAATTTTGAGGTATAGAAAAAAGGTGGTTAGTTATTTTGGGTTTTTTATTTTTGAAAATTGTCCATTTTGTCCACTTTGAAGTTTTAATTTTAAAAGAAAAATATTTATATTAAAGGATTATTTTATTGCAAAATAAAAATACCATTTTTTCATGTGAATTATTTTTGTCTAATTATATAATTTCTTGATTCATTTTATTTTTCGTTGAACTCTTACTTTTGTGGTCAATTATTTTTTGTAGTCTTTAGCATTAATTAATTATATTAGAAAACATCTCTAAAATTCTTTTCTCGATGATTTTGTATTTTTAAAAAAATTTATAATTTTTGCCAACTGTTGAATATTTTATCTCCTTGGAATGAATATCGTTTTTAAATTCGATTTAAATTGTGAATATTTTTTACTTTGCATTATTTATATCCTATATATCCTATAATATTCAGGTATCGTTTCAACGAATTACAGTTCCACGAAATGCCGATAAGTTTAAAAAATTAGAAAATATAAAACCTGCAGCAGAAAACGACATAGGCGTAGATGGTCCTCAGATGGTTTGTGCTATTTTTATAGATTTGGATGAAAAAATTTTAGATCAATTGATAAACCAAAATCAAACGTTTTGTAATAAGATATTTAATTAGTAGGTATCGCAAAAAATAAAGCCAGGATTTGAAGTTATTTTGAAAGCCAGCCTTTGATATCATAACATTCGAAACTTATTAAAAAAACCTTCCCGGATATCAACGTCCTCTCAAAGTTCAGCAATAATCTTTTTCTTAATCCACTACTTTTAACTTTTCTTCTGTTTTAATCCTGCTTTACCAAAAGCCACCCGTATTCCCCAAAGCTTTCCATACCAACCACCCATATTCTTCTTCTTCTAACAGCCCTCACCATTACTGGTTAGGCTAGCTCTGCTGCAAGAGTAAGACGTTTCCAAACGTCTGGCGCGGTCTGATGCCGTCATCGACAGTAATAGAAGCCATTCCTTTTTCCGTCGTCTAAGTCCACGTATTGCTGGTCCACCTATGCGTTCAAAATCTTTCCTGACCGTATTAGTCCAAGTGTTGATTGGCCCACCTCGATTTTGCCGCCATCCATCACACGGTTTAGCAAGTAACGAAATATGCAACAACTCTTGTGGTAGACGACGGAGAATGTGCCCTAACCACCCATATTATGTTTCCTCAACACTGTTTCCTACTTTGTAGTGTCCTTTTGAAGCGGCTACAGATTTAAATTGTAAATTGATTTTGACGGTTACTTCTGAAAGAGTATAAAAGCGGAAAGAATGGATGGTTATTTGATTAGTACGAAAACAATATATAGGATTTGAAAGGGTTTTTTAGTTAATATAGCGAGTTTTGAGACGAACTTGACACATTCTGTACTAAACAATTCGTTGGACGCATCGTTATCTTTAACTGTTCTAAATTGAAATTGTAGAATCGATCACATTTTCGACCAACAGAGCCATCAATTCAGACAGCAAATAATTATCGTAAAACTCCAAAAGTTCTTATCAACCCGCATTACAAAGGCATTATAAAACCAAGAGAACCCTGTTTGTTCTTTCTTTTTTCAATTTTTTAATTGGCATAAAATTTTCTTTTTTTACAAAATTCTCAGCTAGAATTTTAATAATTAATTTTTAATTTAATTTTAGCTGGTATGTAAAGTTAAATTTTAAATTTTTTAATTTTTTTTTCTAATTTTTTATAAAATATTTATATATTTATTCTTCTTGATACTTTTCTTTCTAGCTTTTTTTCTTGCTTCATTGTTTGCCCGTTAAATGATAGATTTTTGTTTTTGAATTTTTTAAATTTAAAATTTCTGGAATTTTTAGTACAGTTCAACTGGGCGCCAGCAGTAGCGGTGCCTAGTTCATCGACGATTGGGCTTCAAAATATGCCTCAGCAGAATGCAACAATCTCTCTTGTTCACCCACCCGCTATTCCTTTCACGGTTGTTACATTGTATTATCCTATATTTTAGATTATTTTGTTTTAGCAATGTGGACTAAAGCATTAATTATGATCGTGTGTTTTAATTTTAGGTCACTCCTCCAGTTCCTCAACTGGTCGGTTTTTGTCATCAACCTCCACCAGTTATTCCATATCCAAATTTTTCTACACCCCCACCAAACATTTATTCTTACCATAATGTAGGTATTTCCACTTGTAACTCAAACGGTCACTGGAATCAGCTTGTTGAAGGATTCCTTAAACGAACAAATACTGCTAATAAAATCAACAAATTTGCTCATTCTCGATCACGTTCTTCATCATTTTCTCGTTCAAGGTGCTTTTTTTATATTTTTGGTACATTAATCCGTATTTTTTCAATTTTCTTAATTTTTTTAAATTGTAGATCAAGGTCGTACTCTTCTCGTTCTCGAACATCTAGCTCATCATTTGATTCACGCTCGTCGTACCGTTCTTCGATGCGTAACAGTCGATCAAGAGGCAAATCTCTGTCTCAGTTGCAGCGTTCACCAATTTCTACCAAACGTCCAAGGTTGGTTTTATGCAATTTTTAATCTTCAAATTTAAATTTTGAATTTTGAATGTTGAGGTCGATTTTTTAATGTGATTTCTTTTTTTTTGGGAAAGCTCCTTTGATGTATCTGGCTTTGGGGTTACATAATTTTTATTTTCAAACGATGCTAAAGGGCCTATTATATTGTTTTTTTTAATTCGTAGAACCAATAATTTAAATTGCGTTTAAATTTTTTTGGTTCATTTGCTTAATCAGATTCGGCATGGAAAGGCATGGCTTCCGACTCCTGATACTTTGAAATCGAGTCAAATTATAAAACAAGTTTTGACAATAATTTTTCTAATGGATACAAGAATAATTCGTTAAGTTCGAATCCAGAAATATGGATTTCGAAGATCCCTATGCTGCAGACGTCTTTCAAATTCTATCAATAAATTCCTAAATGAAACGATGGAGGGATGTTTCCAGAAATTGTGCAAATTTAGCATAACAATTTGGAGTTTCATTTGGTGTCGGAATCACTTATTTGTTGCTGGGAAGAAAAGTTTGACAAAATGAAGTTGCTGTTATTACAATACAAAAATGAATGAAATGAATTTTTACTTTTTATCATTTATGGAATGAATTCACTTCCTATTACAAGTACATTCTAATGGATTCGACAGCAGGAAAAGATGGCTGGACAAAGATCACTCCGTTCCGTGTTAAAACCTTACATTGCTCGAAAAAACTGTATTCACCTAGTGGTCTTTCTCAGGATTGGCCCCTTATGGCTTCTGATGAAGTAGAGTAGTAAAGAATTAAAAATGGTCCACCAGGATAAAAAATGCAGCCAGCTAACAAAAGGTTTCATCATTTTGCACGAATAACCGCACAAGAATCATTTCACAAGAAATTTGCTGAGTTGAATATCCATTCACCATATTTGCTCGGTTTCTCATCAATGCTTTTTCTTCTTCCGCACTCTGACAGTTTTTCTTCTAACAATTTCCTCAGGGAAAATGCAGGACCCAGGATCCAGGAAACGTCTGCCCACTGATTCCAAAAGCTCAGACTTTTATACAAATTGAAAAAATGCACTATGTCACGCTATGTTATGTTCATTATTATGGTCCTCATTTTGAAAAATACTGATTTTCAAAAAAAATTATGGTATTACAAAATAAACGACACAAAACTGACGAATTTTTTGGAAGACCCAATATTTCCCAATATTTGGTGTCCATTTGATATTATAAGTTTAAATGCTTTTATCGTAGAACGCCCTTGATTCTAATGCACAGTTTTCTTTTTAATTAAGTTAGTTATCTTCTCGTCTTCATGTTCATAAATATTCATAGGAAATATTCTCCTCGCAACAGTAGTGATATCCATGCTCGTAATCTTGTTTCGGAAGAGAAGGGAGAGCGAAGAGTTAGAAATACGAAGCCTAAGGCTCCCAGTGGATTTAATTTCGTAATTTTTTTTTATTTTTTTTATTTCTGTAATATGTTCATGGATCAAAAATGATTTTATATCCATTTTCCGCATAATTACATCAGTTATTTTTCTTCAGTAGCAATATCTTTTTTGCCCAATTACTCATCGTTTTTTGACTTATTACTTATTGTTTAAGGAGAAGACAATGGAATGTGCCAAAGTTATTGGATTAGACAGCGAATACTTGGCAAAGTTAGCTGAACAGAAAATAATGCGTGAGGCGGTTTTAAGAAGGAAAGAAGAACGTAGAGGGCTGAATATTCATCATCATCGCAGTTCTAAAGATTTGAAGCAAAATTTTGGAAAGAAGCTATCTGATAATTTATTGAAGCGAATCGAACACAAACCTACCGAATCCATTAAAGATGATTTCGGACGGAATGCAACCAATATTATTCGAAGTAGTCCTACTGTAAAAAATATAAAGAGCTCAATAAATGCCGAAAAATTCACTGAAATGAAATCAGATGCGACACGAAATAATCAAAACAAGATTTCGAATGAATTAATCAAGGAAGGAATAAGAAAGAAAGCATATCTTGCTGTGGTTGTGGCAACAACAAATGCTACTGAAATAAATGAAAAACTTATTAAAATGTTTGCTGAAGAAGCTGGTCGAATTAAGGTTTTTTTTTCGAATTTAACCTTAGATTTTTCGAATTTTCATTTTTTTATAAGCTCATTCTCATTTCATTTCTCGAAAATAATATATTTTTTACCACATGTTGCTTGCAACAAATTTCTGTTATTTCTATTAAATGAAATCCCAGTCGTGAAAAATAATTATCCATATTTGTTTATTGTCTCTTTACTACATGCCTTTTTTTTATAGAAAATTTGGTGCTCGAATGATAAGCTGGTTTACATAATCTTTGAGCAACATGAGAGTGCCAAGAAATTTATGTTGAAGTACAATGGGTAATACTTTTAAGAGTATTTTTATTATTTGTTTAATTGTGCAAATCATATGTGTAGATTTTGAAAATTTAAAATCTGTGTATACATTTTTGAAAATTTTATATAGGCATATTTTAGACATTCATTAAATGGAACTTTTCTCTGCATTAAATTGGAAAAGGTTTACGAAAATTTATCGGAATTGTGAAGGTGGTGCTCTATATCAAAAATTTTGATTTTATTATGGCAGTCTCAAATTTTTGAAATTTTTTTCTAAACTTTTATTACATACTGCATTTTTTTCGCTTGTATGGCTTAAAAAATGTATACTTCGGGCTAATAGTTTGTAAAAATTTTGCTATTAATCGAAATTAGTTTTGTACAGTGGCTTGAAATTCATTTAATAATTTGTGCATATGTTTTTATTTCACTTTTCTACTTTTTCTTGTTCTTTTCTTTGTCATTTCATATTAATTTTTCATTTTTCATTCATTATTGAGGTTTTATAGATTTATAAATTTTTTTATCTAGCAAGAAAGGAGAAAGAAAAAATATATTCCGATTTAAACGAGAGAGTTCTCTTTCTACGTTTTGGCTTCTTCTTTGAAATTATCGAAGGCATTACTTTTTCATTTTATCTGCTGCGAAATTGTTTTAAAAAAAATCCTTTGATTTGTCTTTTATAATTTTTGTTGCAAGTAAAATAATTATTGTAATCTTTAATTTTTATCATATATTTCACACAAAAAGAAATAGTTTAGAAAATATATGCAATCATCTTCACAAATTTACTTTTAGCTAATTTCCAGTTATATTACGCTGATGGAGAGAGCTGGATTTCCCTTAGTTTTTTTCTTCATTTTTCATGTGGTTTGTTGTTATACCCATAGCCATTTTTGAATATTAAGAAAACTGAAATGAAGCTTATTATTTTAATTGTATTCTAATGTTTTTATCTGGATTTCCATTAATAAAGAAATGTTAGGTTGGAAATCCATAGAACTGCCAAGTTGTCATTTTCTAATAATTTGTTGCTTTTGTCATTTAATTTGTCATTTATCTCATACTACTGGCAAATTTATTTCAGCTTTGGATTTTACATTGTTTAATTTGCATATAATCGAGGATATTTTCAAAATAAAAATGTCATCTTTTTCTTGCTATTTCTTATTATAAATCTACCAATTATACATGATAAGGTAAAGATTATTCATTATTTGATGTATACGGGTATTATTTACGAATATTTGTTTGTATATATATTTATTCATTCATGAAATTAATAAAGTATCAAAAGATGTTTACGAAATTTGAAATAAAATTTATTTTTAGTTTTTTGAACGCTTCAAGTATAAAAGCATGATAAACAAAAGATATTTCGTTTGGTTATACAAGCTGAAAACTGTATATTTAGATTTAACATAATCACCAATACTCACCAATAACAATCTGTTTGCACATAATTCTGCAAAATTAGGAAAATTTGCACCATGCTATGGTGAATATGGTCGCTGTAGCTGCACATAATGAAATTTTCAATTTAATATTTAATTCGTTTCGCAATATCTCTAAATGAATAAAACAAAAATTAATTTGTAATTTTTAAATTCAACCATTATATGCAAGCGATCCCAAAAGAAATTCTATGATTGCGTTTAAAAAGTAATTTCATAGGTTAATCCCTTATAAAACTTTACGAAACAAAGCAAAAAGTCCTTACGATTTCTGTCCTTCTATTTTCCTTTTTTCCAGAATTTTAGTTATTTGTGAATATTCTCGATCAAGTTTGTGCTTTTCTTTATCTGCACCACTTTTTCTGGTTTTTCGTCCATCATTAGTTTTTACTCCAAATTGGTACGCAGCTCTGAAATTATAATTTATCAATTAATATGCAAATATTTATTCGAGAAATACAAAATTCACTTTGGCATGGCCTCCTTCGATTCCATATATTTTTCATATTCATCATGATCATCGAAATCCCATCTCTTTATTGGGCCCCTCCGATTACCCTGAAACGTTCCAATAAATCAAAAAAATTGCAACTTTATTTGTAATTTCATTATTTCAAAGTACTCGCATATCTGGTAATATTTTATAATTTTTATACATTATATGTAAAGACTTGCGTCTATCATAACGTGATAATAATAATGTAAAACGGTTAATGGCTCAATGCTTCAACATAAGAAAGAATAAACTGTTTTCACAGTAGGAGATGGATCAATAATGCACTACTATACATATACTCAGACTCAGAATATTCAGAAGAGATAGGCATGTACAAGCTGGGGAAGATGAATATTGCCTTCCAATATCTCTGCTGCGAAAAGCAACTGATAAGAGGCATGAATAAAATGACTGTAATTAACCATCGAGATCGACTATCGAGGTTTAGTGATCTACAACCAGATAATATAATCGAAGATGCAAATAAGGTCAGAACGAATTATAAAAAGCCCTATTCTCCAAAGGATCGTTCAAGGTGTAATCTCAACTTCAATAATACTAATATATGGTAACAATAGTATGAAATATAACAGTATGGTAACAACAGAGCCACTAACAGCAAAAACTATACAGTACTGGAAGAATATTCGGGAGAAAGAAAATTCACAACATCAATGCAAATGGCTATATGATCCGAAAGAATAAATCGCTATCATCCAAAGCAAGAACCATCACAATTGCTAATATTCAACAGTGATTAAAAAATATGAAAAGTTGGGCAGCACCTGATCCGGATATGATTCAGACTTACTAGCTAAAGAAGCTAACAGCGGTTCATAACTGCCTAACGACACAAATGAACCAGCTGCTTGTGGTAGGCTCTCACCCAAACTGATTAATACAAGGAAGGACGATACTGATCATAAATAAAAGAAGCTCATAAAAGAATAACACTGTCCAACTATCAACCAATAATCTGCCTCTCTGAAAAGTCCTGTCAGGTGTCATAGCCATCAAGCTTTATGATCATATCAGCCAGTATATGAATGCAATTCAAAAAGGCATTGGGAACAAAACCAGAGACTCCAAATACAAGCTCATAGATAAGGCAATCGTTCAAAATCCTGGCAGACCAATCTGCTTGAATTGACAATTGGAACTATGATTCAATGGTCTCACACATGGATCTGTGAATGTCAATAGGACTGTGGAAAATCACATTGAAATCAATTCAAAACAACTTACACAAGTGGTTATCAAGTGCGGCATATACCAAGGCAATGCCCTATCTCGCCTATAGTTTTAAAACCCCTCAGTCAAATAATCACTAGAAGCGGATATGGGATACCAATTCAAGAGCGACCGCCACCTTCTCTACATGGATTATATGCAAAAAATGAATGATATTGATTACTTACCCACCTAACTTCAAAGTAATGATTAATAAATTTAACCTGCCATCATATCATATAGCGGACATGCATGCTAGCTAAAGAATCCTTGGTACCCTATAGTCACATGGCAATCATGATGAGGAGATAAGGAAGATTACATTATCTAAGTATAACCAAAGGACAAGACAAATCTTGAAGAGCAAGCTAAATGGGAAGAACAAAATCCATGCTATAAATATGTACGCACTGCCAGTGTCATCGGGCATTATAAGATGGACCAGGAAGACAAGGAAACTACTGATTGCAAAGACCAGGAAATTCCTCAAAATGCAACGGAATTTTCACCTCAAGTCCAACACCCAAAGACACCACCTGAAAAGGTGGGGCATGGTGAGCGTGAAAGTCGCTATCATGAATGAAACTCGAAGCATTCAGAAATATATCAGCAGAATGAACTGGTGAGAGAATGTTTGAAGGATGTATAGACACTGGGAAATGATCAAACAGAGGAAATACCATGTCAAAGCAAGACTCTCCATCGATGCACCATTGCACCATCGACAGATAACTGAGGTAGCTAACACTGTGAAATCGTACCAGTGGATGAAGAAAATCGGACTAAAAGGTAACTGAAGAAGAATTGATTATAGCAGCAAAGGAGCAAGCATTAAGCATAGGATTCATTGAAACAAGGATACCAAACTAGACAGAACTCTACATGCAAACTATGCAAAAACGCCCTAAAAACAGCAAGACATAAAATGCAAGCAGGAACAACTTAAACTGAAAGACATAACTACATAGCTGGCATCATCTACAGGAATATCTGCTCGGTATATTGCATAGACTCTTCCAAGATTAAATGAGATATTCTTCTGAAAATCGTAGAAAATAATAAGGTGAAGATAATTGGGATTTTTCCATCCAGGCATACAAATAAGTACTAGCCAATCATAACCAACCAGATATCATGGTAATAGACAAAAATAAGAAATCTCCAAAATAGGACACTATTAGAAACAGCTAAAATACTGCACAGACCTCTCAATCTGCCAGGTCTCTAATAGAAAACACGAGGTTGAGGATGGTCATGACCCCTAGGGTATGAGAAAAGTTTTTTCATACAACAATTGATGAAAATAAAAAAACGGAATACCATGTCCATTTTTGAATAATCAGCCTCGTCATCACTTTCACCTGCTGCTTCATACATTTCAATGCCACCTGGATAGCATTCAGCATAACCTTCAGTCTCGATTGCTGATTTCTTTTTTTTCTGGGATGGTGGCACGTTTTCAGCATATTTTACGATTTCTTCGCGACGCTTTTCGTAATCTCTTTTATCTTCTTCTTTATTACGTCGATCCCTTTCTCGATCTCGATTACTTTTATCATGATCACGATGTCTTTCTCGATCCTTCAATTTCTCGCGTTCCTTATCCCTATCATCACGTCCATTATCTTCGAAATATCTGAAATAATGAATAATTTACGATTTACTTTCAAGCTAACTCTTTAACTCTTTAAATTTGATAAATGGTTTGATGGAAATATTCACATATTTACTTACGACGAAGGTTTTAGCCGTCGACGATCTCTATCTCTTTCTCGATAATTATCTCTCTCCCGCCGACGATCACGATCAGAAGTGGTTTTGGATATATTCGAATCAAATATGGGTTCAGATGCCAACTTATTCCGTTCTTCCATTTCGAGTTTTTTTTTCTTTTTCTGTGAATCGGTGCGTAAATAGGATAAAACTTGCGTGAGCTTCTGAAATTGTAATTTTTTAAGACTAATAAATAACCACTGCTAATGGCTACCAGGAATAGCTAAAAAAAATTTGATCACTGAGACAAACCTGTATAAGCAGATTGCTCGTATTGATATCATTACTACTTTCAGCAGCAGGACAATCATGGATGGAGCGTAAGCGGGTTGTTGGCAAATCATTTTCCTCCTCTTCTAAATCGATTACATAAGCCATTCGACCTTTTCTAGAAGAAAGTACAAAAGTAAATGGAAATATTATCAATTCGAAATAGAAATTTTTTAAAATGTTCATTCAATTGATTTAAGGAATTTTGCTAGCATTTAGTGGCCTGACTTTTCATTTCTCTTTTTGTATTTTGTTTCATATTTAATAAAATAAAAATAGGTAGGCAACCAATACCTGAATAGCTCGTTCCTATAAGGTAATTCATTTTGAAATAAAATTCGATAAATGCTACGAACCATCGGATTATCTGACCGAATTTCTTCCATGTTGTCCTTCTAAACAGAAAATCTCAAACCGTTCCAGAAAAATTTTTATAAAAAATTGGACAGGATTATAAAAAAATGATCATTTACACTGTATTGACTTTCAAGCATTTCTTCATTCTTTTGCTCGCGCATAGCTATTTCAGAACGGACTTTGTGAAGAAGAGAATAATCAAGTCCCTTTACCAAGTGAGTATGCTCCATATCACCACCAAGATATTTACTTTCCTTAAAATTTATTCAGAAATGACAGAAGAAAATACAAACTTGACCATCGGTAAAGGCTATAATATAAAAATGTTTATAAAAATAATAAATCATAATGTGAAAAAAAATATCAAAATAACTACAAAATTTTTATTAAGTATCTTGTTCCTCTTCTTATGAATAAATAATATTTCTATAATATTTCTATGCCAGTTTTTTAAAATGAATGAATTACCTGAATTGCTTGTTTTCGGCGTTGCGCTGCATCAGCAGTAGCTCGAATATCACTCGGAACAGCTCTATATGCGTTATTTGCCTGAAGATCATCTGAATCTTCCTTTCCAATTCCTTTTCGACGTTCTTCAGCTCTATCTCGATAGTTTTTTAGAATTTCGGTTAAATTTGATGGACCTGCAGAATTTCCAAAATATTCATACTAAGCAGTATACGAAATAAAACATTAAAAAAATTTAAAAAGTTCTCAAATTTGACATTTCTTACTTGACTTCTCTATACAGAAAAGGTTATAACAAACAAATAAACAAACCAAAAAAGTCGTCTTCATCCTGTTCATCTCGCTCCTTTTGCTTCTTTCCTTTCATTACACTATTTTGGTTTCGCTTTGATCTAAATATGTAATGTATTTATTCATAAGAAACTTGTATAGAAATTTGGAAATCAAAAGTACAATTGTTTTAAAGTACAGTATAATTATAATATAATAAAATTGGAATTAAATTAAGAATAATGAAGATGAAATTCTAGTCGCTTTTCAGTTTTTTTTCTTATTTTCCGATATCTAATTAAAAATATTAAAAAAAAATAAAACAAACTCATTCGTTTGCCTATGACTGAATGAATGAGTGGCTTGATTTTGCGATGCATTTGATGAAGGTGTAATTGATGTTGTTGTAGCTGAAGATGTTGTTGAAGACTGAGCTGCTTTCCGCGAAAGAAGTTGACGAAAATCTTCATTGCGAAGTGTACCAGAAGTGATTCGTCTAAATGGATAGTAAAAAATCGTACATACATACCTCATTCTAAATAGTTTTTAAAAAACGATTTTAGTTTTACAAAAACTAAAATAATAGGAAGAATCCAAAAATTCGAATCCAAAACAAAAAAATTTAGGAAAAATATGAATAACATACGCAATTGCGGTAGATCCACCAGTGATTTCGCTAATATCACCGTCCATCTGAAAAAAATAAATGGACAATACGATAAAAATTTTCAAAACAAATGCAAACATGAAATTACATAAAATTAATGGAAAATTATCAAACCCAGCGCCAAGATTTGAAATTTCCAAGCAAAGAAAACTTGCCATTAAAAAATCCAAGCTAGAAACTTATTGTACTTCTGAATTTTATTTTAACTTACAGTGAAAATAGTAAAAACCGGAAAATTCATAAAAATAAAAAATAAAATAAGAGAATAAAACAATATTTAAAAGCATAAAAAACAAATATTATATGGGGAACTGTCCTTTCCCCCTTCAATAATGCGACAGACTAGATAATGAAAATCGCTTGTCGGCAAGAGGTCCAAATAAATCCAGAGCATCGCGTTACAGATCTTGAATACTCTGATGATGTAATCCTTTTTGCTGACAGTTATGATGAAATGCAAATGATGCTAAATAACGTGTCAGCAACTGCAGTGAGAATCGGACTCAGGATCAATCTAAATAAAACGAAAGCCTTTTCGTCTTATATACAAGAAGAGAATAACCTATGCCTATTTCTATCAACTCATTGCCGGTTGAGGAAGTGTCGATTTTAAATATCTTGGATCTATTCTAATCGCAAATGGCCAGGGAAAATATGAAATCAGAATTCGGATAACGATAGCTACAAATTCGCTCTTCCGCTCATCCGCTCATCCGCTCTTTATGGAGTCGTCGCGAATCATTGTGAAAACGGAAGTCCGTATCTATAATTCGCTCGACCTTGCTAAATGGCTGTAAGACATGGCCGATCTTCCTTTCATCATTCATGTTTAAAACATATTTTACAGATCCGTTGATAATATAAAATTTCACTTGATTACATCCATTTCCGCTCAAATACCACTTGCATTAATGGTACCATCACAGACGTCCTCTTCGTTAGTTGCAACATATTTTTCGTCGTCCACCACAGGGGTTAGCACACATTTCGCTACTTGCTAAGTCTTATGATAGATGAAAGCAAGGAGGATCAATTAAGATCTGGACTAATGCAAATCTGGCCTTTAATACTATCAGCAATAGCGTCGGACCGAACAGCTTCGAGACGTCATACTCTCATAGCTGAGCTAGCCTAACCAGTATCAGTGAAAAAGCAAAAGAATAAAAATTTAAAAGAATAAAGATTCTATTTAAACCGAGAAATTATCATAAGGCCAAGATGAACTATTAAGATAATGCATAAATTTTTAATATTTTTGTATTTTTTTTTTAAACAATTTTAATAATGTAAAGCGATGAGAAAGAATGAGGCGCATGAACTTCGAAATCTCCTCCCCCCCCCCCCCCCCCCCCCCCCCCCCTCTTCTTCCTTCTCCTACACATTGCTTTAACCAAAAGTACTTGGCCACAACTTCAACATCTGAAGCTGCAAGGACAAAATGACTATCGAGCAGATCTAATGAAAAATGGAATACACTATTATACAGCTTCGGCCTGGAATGGTATTCATCAGTGAACGTTGAACATTTTGTTTCCTTAATTTGCGTGGAATTTGTTTTTGGTTTTGTTTTTCGGTTTTGATTTTGATTGCCCTGGTTTTAGGTTTTTTTGTTCTTTTTTAAAGTTCAGTCTCAAATTTGTTCCCAAAAATTCTCGGTGTTATTTCTGGATTTACGTTGGAACCATAATTTTAAATTGAAATTGTCGTTTCATTTCTCTTTTTTAATTTAATTTATTAATATTTAATATTAGCAAGTAGAGAGAAGCTGTAGCTCGGCTGTTCCGGCGCGGCTAAGTTCTTCTCCGCTCTTCTTTTTATCTAAAAGATTGCCTGGCACAAACAAGCGGACATAGCCTAACAAGAAGCGGCTATCGCTGTCCATTTATTAACTTAATGTAAACAGTATAACCTGGATTCTCTCTCAGTTCGTCGTATTAACAAGATTTAATTTATACTTCTAAAATTTTGTATGGTTATGTTAAACTAGATTGTTCAAAATATTATAATTTTAGGCTGACTTTGAATCCAACAAGAACTAATAGGTAAAATTACTAAAACCTATGTGCAAAATTAAACTAAGGACTCATTACTTCTTTATTCATACTATTAATTACTGGAATAAATTGGCAAACGATATAGCCTGTGCGCCATTCCTAGCTGTCTTTAAAAAAAGATTAGGTAATATCATTTATGATAATATTAAAAGTTTATGCAGGAAATGTGAAATCTCGATTTTTACCATCCGATTGTATATAATATAGTTCTTTCGATTTTACTATATTATATTATTCTGTAATTTCCTCTTTAAACCGTCAATTTTTGTCATATTTTCCATTTTTCTTTTTACTAAATTTTATTATTTGTTTTTTTTTAACTGTTGTTATTGATACAAACACATGACGTTTGTCGCCCTGCTTGGCTGGTTTTTAATAAATAAATAAATAAAACTCGTCATTAGCAGTGAAACGTAACGTCGAAAATCCTCTATCCTTTCGCTCTGATGGCAAATTTAGTAGTGGCGACGGCCAAACCAGAAGTTCGAAGAAAAAAGTAAAGATAATTTAATTATATTATAATAATCTCAAAAATACTCCATTCGCATGTAATGGTTCATTTTATACTTATTCGTCTTTAAGAGATTTGCTATTTTTTCGAATAAAAATAATGGTTTTTTTCAACTTTTCAAATAAATTGTAATCCATTGTCTCCACTTTATTTATTATAATTTACCCATTTTAAAATCATTTTAATTATTTGAAATTCTTTAATTTGTTCGTGGAAAAGGAAAATTTGTATTGAAAAATATAATTAATGTTCGTTTAAAAATATCAAATATCAAATATAAAAAGAAATGTAAATATAATAATTCTTGAAATTGAAGGAGATTTCTCGTAAATTTGGTTTCGTTCAATTTAAAAACGGTTTCTTCCTTCCTTATTTCGTTTTATGTTTTATCAAAATTTAATTAAATTGATCGGGTTTTTCAGGGTTTCTTCTTCGCAAATTTAATTTTTGTGTAAAATTTATTGAAAATATTTATCACCAGCAAATAACATGGTTAATCTTATTTTATTTTCATTTTTTAATCTTTTGGAATTTGAAGAAATTTAAATATTCCATTTACTCTACCGTTTTGGCCATTTTTTCATAGATGGTCAAACGATTTTTTAATTGATTTTTTTTAAACATTGAAATTGCTGTTTTTGTCCGTAAATTTGTTTTCGCAATGAATAATCTTTATGAAAATGATATCTGAAATGTTTGCTGAATAATTTAGAGTGCTACTTTGCAACCTTACCTGGAAGCAGTGCGTAAGACGTTGGAAGCAGCATTATGTCTCGAACAGTTCAGTTCACAAGTGGTTGAACGTCATAATAAACCTGAAGTTATTAGTTTTTTATATTCACTTCTTTTTCTTTTTTTTTACCTCACAGGATTTCTAATTTGGCTCGCTTGTAGTTTCTGGTTAGCGTTTCCAAGCCTCATGATTCGATACCATTTCTGGAACTGAAGCCAGTTATTTCTCCACCTTATATCGTTGGGGTACCTATGCGTTCAGAATTTCCCGTGTTGATTGGAACTACTCGCTTTTCATCGCACCCATCACATTAAAACACCTATAGGGTTTAGCAAGGACTGAAATAATGAAGGACTGATGTGATATGTATCAATTCCTGTGGCGGATGACGAAGAATATGGTCGAACCAGTGCAGATAATGCTTAATCCAGATGGTATTTGAATGGAGGTAGACGCATTTATGTGACTATTTGGAGGACACTTAGAATGTATAAAACTTTAGACCGAATAAAGGCAGATAGCTTCCTCATATCTTCCACTCTCATTGGCCAAGTTTTGTAATCGTTCATTAGAATTTTGCGTTCTACAAATAGATTTTTTGTTTTGACACTGATTTTATGGCAATTCTGAAGAAGTTTGGTCAGATGAACAAAACACATCTGGCTGCAACCATCTAAGCTAAAATTTACTTATCTTTATAAAATTATCTTTTACTTATCCATTAAATATTCGAATAAAATATTTTAAATATTTTAAAATATTATCATATTTAAACATTATCATCTTATATTTCTATTATTGAATAATTTATTAACTGCGGTTTTATTATTGTCTGGTATATAAGGAGAAAACAGTTTCTATTTTTATTACTTTGAATTGAAGGACAATTTTCGCTATTTCTATCGATATCCGGCATCTTTTGGAGTTTTTCGTAACTTTCAGGCGAAAGAATAACGTTAGCATATTCAAGGACTTTGATACCATTTTTGGACCTCTTAAATACCGGCAAGCATCACTACCCAATCCATCTGAAAGTTACAGGGATAGGGAAATACAATTTTATTGCAGTGTATTTTTACCAGTGTATTTTTTCGAAGGGTTGTGTTATTTCCCATCCTCTCCCCACACATACACATAAATCTGCGCTAAAGTGAACCGATAAAATTCATTGATAAGTCTAATTTCATTAGCTTCTCTGAAGTACCATCTGTGTTGCACGATTTGGCAGAGCACATCTCTTTTGATCGAATCAAAAGCAACGACGAAGTCGATGAAGCACAATAATGGTGATTTGTCGGCATTTAAATCAGTGCTGCAATCTCCCAGCATGAAAATTTGGTTAGCACAGCCGCGTCCTGACTTAAATCTGATTAGAATATATTTCGCTGTCATACAGTGCTATAAGAATTCAGCCAGAGGGGCAAAAACCTCAGAAACATCTAGTAAGCTGATTTCTCGATAGTTGTTGCAGTACGTCATCTTTCTTGGAAGTTGCAGAATTGGCTTGTTTTCATTCCTGTGGCATTTGCTCATTCTTCCACATCGATGAATCATATAATCATTGCAGATTTATTTGACACTGGGGAGAATTTGATAAGTTCAATTCGCAGACTATCTTCAAAGGTTTTATTGATCTTAAGCTTATAAATTACGGTTTATTTCATGCTTGATTCGCATTTGCAATCGAATGGCTTTAAATTCATTTCAGTAATGTTTGAGATATTGGAT